CAGACCTGTTATTATATTATTAACTTATTGGAAAAGACTTGAGTGCCCTTCTTTAAGTAAGAGGCACTCGAACTAATATAACAGTACACATCAGCATTCTCAACAAGTACAAAGACTGAAATACCCCTTCACTAACACCACTAACACTACCTAAGTGATAGGCTTGGGCCCGACTCGAAAAATAAAAAAGCCTGACTTCTTGAGCCCAAGGACTGAATTTCCAAGCCTAGCCTGTGTAAAATTTCGGGCTGGGTCGGTTCGGGCTTAGGCTAGGCCCGCCCAAGTTGCACTCCTATTGACCACCAGTTTCCTTTCCTTCCACTCCCTCTAAAATCACCCCTTCCTTCTCTTTTTCACCCCAAAATTTTCTTTTATCACATAAATTCTGACTTATCTGACCCTCCTTCTCCTCTTCCTCCTCCCCAGTCTTGTCACTTGGGGAAATAGGTGCCTGAAGTTTCTCTAAATTTGTTGAGCCTTCACTACCATTGTTACTTCCTTGAACAACTAAGAACTCATCTACCTCTTCTACAAGGTTCCCGTCCACCCCCTTAGTACTTCTCCTCTAAACTTCCCTCTTCATTGAGTAGGTAAATTACTTGGCTTGTTCTTTTTGGGAGGGGAGTGGGTGGTTAGGAAAGCAATAAAGCAGTTTGAAAGAAGTAGAAGGGAAGAAAAGAATAAGAAAAAAGCAATTGGGGAGGGGGAAGATGAATGGGAGAAAGGAGAAGAGAAGAAAAATGATTGGGTCAAAGAAGAATGAAGGGGTTGGTGGAAGAAAGTGATAGGGGATAACAAGACGAGTGTTCCACCATCGTTTGTGGAACACTCTCAACTCTTTACACTTTTGACAGCCCCCCTCACCACACTCCTCTTCATTGACAGGAATAGGCAATGGAGCTTCCTAAGCAAAAACACCTTGCTCGCCACTCTTCCCCTGGGGTGAAGTCCTGGAGTAATAAGGGACATCCTCAAAGAATGTAACATCCATAGACACAAACCTAGTCCCGAAGATTGGATCATAACAGCAATACCCCTTWTGRTTTTGTGCATACCCAAGAAAAATACACTTGGCTGCCTTAGGATCAAATTTAGAACGGTGAGGCCCAAGGATATGAACAAAGCAAGTGCACCCAAAGGTCTTAAGGGGAATAGTGAACTGGTCTTTATTAGGGTACAATAGGTTAAAAGGTGCTTTCATGTCTAAAACCCGTGAATGAACTCTATTGATAAGGTAGACAGCTGTGTAGATGGCAACCCCCCCAAAACGAATAGGAGCTACTAGCAACTTCAAGAATGTGTCTATTCTTTCTCTCAGCTACTCCATTATGCTAGGGTGTACGAGGATAGGTACTTTGATGGACAACTCCTTACTCGAATAGATGTGAGGCCAAGGGCTTTGTGAAATACTCCTTGGTGTTTTCAGATATGAGAATTTTGATCCTTACTCCAAAGTGAGTTAAAATCATTTGGTCGAATGCACGGGTTAGAGTAGGAACTTCATCTCGAGACCGCATAAGGTAAACCCAAGAAAAACGAGAATAGTCATCAACAAATAGAAGGGAATATCTGTAATCACCCATTGCGTTAATGTGATAAGGTCCCCAAACATCAGTATGCACAATTTCAAAAGGAACAATGCTTCTTTTATTGCTCAAAGAATAGGCTGATTTACAATGCTTTGCAAGTTCACAACTCTCACACCTTAGGTTAGACACTAAGATAGACTCAAACAAAGTAGGAAAAAGACTCTTCAATGACCCAATCGATTATCTAAATCACAGACTGAGACACAAAAGACCTCCCAACATCTTTATTCCTTTTAGGTGGATGCTTAAGCAAGTAAATTCCATTCGTCTCACGGCTAGTCCCAATCACCCTCATTGTCACTAAATCCTGAAAGACACAATGAATAGGAAAAA